TCTGTGAGCACCCTGAAGTATCTTAGAAATCTGGGGCATTGAACGTTTCTCTGGAGTTAAATAAACCTTATTAACTTAAACTAGTATGTCTATTTCATGGATGGGGAAACTGAGGCACAGAGCAGCCCTGTGGCCTACTCTAGGCCACGCTGCTGGGTGCTGGACATTGGCTCGCGGCGCCCCCTGGCGGCGGGAGGCGCGGCGAATGTGGGGGTCCTGTTCTCCTGGCTGGCCTCCCTCCCCTGTGGCATCTCGCTTGCTGGAACAGCCTAGGGCAGGGGCGGATAGGCGGTTCTGTGCTCCAGTGTCAGGTTCAGTTCCTGTCTCGGGAAGGCTCAGTCTTCCACCCTGGAACTTGCCACCTTCCCAGCGTGCCTGAACATTTATGTGTGACACAGGTCCTCCCAGCTTTCAGAACAGCTCCCTTCATTACTAAGTCACTCCACTGATAATTCATCATCACAATCAATGATGAAATTACAGAAGGAAAATTAAACGTCATCTGGGTCATGAACTTGGTGCATTTGCTTCCGGATATTTAAAAGGCAAATTTTTTTAGGGAATGATTATTTGCAATTTTTCTCCCTGCCCCTTGACTTACAAGTAATGCATGCTCGCCTTAGATAATTTGCAAATAATGGAAAGAATAAAATAAAGTTCAGTTATAAACTCACTCATAAACCACCTGTCTTCAGCATTTCACCTTATTTCCCTCTGGATTTTTCTTCACCCATTCATAAGAATACCAATATATTCCCCTTGAATTTGTGCTACAGGCATCCCTCTCACTCCCCGTTACTGACTGCACTCTACCCACTCTGGCTTCCCACACCCAAGCACAGCCCCACCTCTGGGCCTTTGCACATGCTCTGCTCACCACCTGGAATGCATCTTTCCTCCTTCATCCTCACCGTTGGGTCCCAGCTCAGCGACCTCTCCTCTGGGAGACCCTCCCTAATACCCCAGGCTGGCACTGGTGGAAGCTCTGGGGAATTCTTTGATTCATGTCCATCACTCTCTCCAGACCATGATCTGGATGCCTGGGCCGGGTCCACTGCACCATCTCCAGTGTCCCCAAAATGGACTTTGACAACTTCAGCAAGTCCCTTAACCTCCTGAAGCCTTGGTCTTTTCATGGATAAAGTGGGCTCTTGGTGAGGGTCACATAATCGCAATAACAGGTAACATCTGAGGAAAGCATGTCCTGAGCTGGGCACTGAGATACATGCTGTTCAGGGTCCTTGCCTTGGTGGCCCACCCTAAACCCAAAGAGGAGGGTAGGAGAAAGTCTTTGGGGCCCTAACCGGTTTGGCTCAGTGGATAGAGTGTCGGCCTGCAGACTGAGGGGTCCCGGGTTCGATTCCGGTCAGGGGCATGTGCCTTGGTTGTGGGCACATCCCCGGTGGGAGGTGTGCAGGAGGCGGCTGATCGATGTTTCTCTTTGATCAATGTTTCTGACTCTCTATCCCTTTCCTTCTTTGTGACTCTCTTGAAACAGCAAACACTGTAGCTCAAACTCATCCTGTAAACCTGTGACCTACGCAAATGCTGTGGCTGTCACAGCAACAATATACTTCATAGCTGTTGCCTACATGAACACATCCACCGAAGCACACATTGGTTGGCCGCATATGGCAGCCCCAAGGAAGGGCAACCTGACATGGATGCGAAAGCAGGCACTTCTAGGTTCAAGGACTTTGCATACTTTCCCAAGACCAGACAGACA